ATCCTTGTAACTTCGGCCCTGACCTTGACCGAAGCATCGTTCCTGCATCCCCCTGCGCACATGCGGGTCGCAAAGGAAAACGGCCAGGGCCTGCAGATGCACCTTAAAGGAAGCAAAAGATGGCAGCTGCTCGCACATATCCGCACATATGTTGTGCATGATGTGAAGCACCCCAGGAACCTGGAGCGACTGTTGAAAGCTGAGTTCTGGCCAGGGGTCCACAGCAGATCCCAAGTCGTCAAAGCTCTGAAAGGCTGTCTGATCACTTGCATCACACAATTGCGGGCAGACAACCTCGCTGGGTGCTGACATGCCGGAGATCCCAGACTCCGTCCCAAAATCTGTTGTGAAAGATGAAATGGATGAGACTACCTTTCGCATTGAAGTGCCACTGCCTAGCCAAATGCTGTGCAGAAAAGCATGTAGCTTGTGTTGCAAATTTGACCGTTGATGTCCTAAGCCAGCCGGCGGCAGGACCACCACCTCGAGAGACAAGTTCAATGCCTCCGAAAGCTCACGGATTTCCTGCAACAGGCCCGGACAATCTGCCAAATCTGAGAAGCCTTGAGCCTGCTCTGAAACTGCACAAAGTTTCCAGCAGTGTTGCAGCATTTGTTCCAGCGACGTTCTGTGCCCAAGCACCTGAAGCTCTGACAGAAGCCAGTCCCGCCCGCCTTGCGGACTGGAATCAAGCAAAGCATGAAATGTTACGTTGCACTGTTCAAGCTCCTCCTGCTGAGGCTCAGGTTGTGGGCAGGGCGAGATCTGAAAGTAGCCTTCGAAAAGCTCCCTAAGTCGGAGACAGGTCGCTGCCTCGAAAATCAATCGCCATCGAGACATCGTCGGAGCAGACGGTGTTGCAGACTGCTCAAGCATATGCAAAAGATCAGCAGCAACATCTTTCTGAAAAGCCATGTGCAAGGCCATGCGAAGTGCAGAATCGACTGTATCGGAATTCTTCAAATGGGAAGCAAACATGACGGCATGAATTGCGAACCAAGCTGTGTAGCGACCGCGCTGCCCAGCATCTCTCGCAGTATCATCGGCAGCATGCATGGAGTTAGGCCTTCCTGGAAACCAACGGGCCATGCGCTTTCTGACAGCCTTTCCGAGAAGACCCCGTTGCAGTCTAGAGCCTTCTACCTTGGAAGCTGCTACTTGCACCGGATGCAGTTCGAAGGCCAGGCGAGAGGCCCAAGCACGAAGCGAATGAAACTCCTGCTCAACGTCCTGTCTGCGATCAGGGTTTGCAGCGGTTGCTGCAGAAAGCAAATCACTCCATCCGTCAAGGGTTTCAACGAGATGTTGGAAAGATCCTGTAGTCAGGCCAGCAGAGGGCTCCGCTGGCGGGGATGTCAGGGCCTGAGTTTGTTTAGTCTCGGCTTGCATTTTGGCATGGTATTTCAAGTTTTTCAGTTCTTTGGCCAAGACTTGGGGCAAAGTTCTAGGCAAATCTCGTCGCATGGAAATTCCCAGAAAATTTACAACTCGGTGCAAAATCAAATGGCACAAAACTTTCGGCAGTCCAATTGCAAAGAGCACAGCTGGCAATCGATCATTCACTGGACGGTAAATCCCTGCATTACACCACTCGTCAAAAATGCGCGAGATTGACGACTGCATGGCCTGTATGGAACCCCTGCCCAGTGCAAACATCACTGGGGCATGATGTCTGCTTGCAACCGTATCGGGTGCACATACTACATCTGTCAATGGGCTCACTGCTCGCACAGTCCAGTTGTATCGTTGCCAAAACGGTCCTTCAATGTCCGAAAACCACGTCTCATGCAAAGCATTCACGGGGTGCTGAAGAGTGCGCTCAGGAGCAAGCTGCAGCAACACCACGCACACAGACATTCTTCGACCATCATCTTGCAAGTCTTGCACAGCCCCGGCCCCGGACTCTCCCTCTCCGGCTTCGGAACGCCCTGCTGGACATTGTGAAAGCGCTGCAAAAGCACTCTGCAATGCATGCTGTGACAAGCTGCCACGAAAGTTTACAAGCAAAGGATTCTGTTCTGAACCTGTTGCAGATGCAGGTTGAATCGCTTGGGCTTTTCGTTTTGCCCGCTGCCGGGCATGCAAACTTCTTTCGGCATCCGATGTGCGGCTGTGCGTGCATACGACAAGGGGCCATACAGCAGAAGCTTCTGCTCCGAAAGCTTTCATGACGCTGAAGTGCTACATACTACACATAACACCCTCACACAGTGACATGTGCGAAGCTCACACACACATCAAGAACTGCTCAAGAGCTTCAAGGCTTGAAGACTCGGTTCGGCGCTGGCAATGCTGAGCGCAGCACTGCAAGTTGCAATGCTCTCAAAGGACACACTGAAAACACATCAGCTGCTAGAGTGGCAGAGTGGCTACTTTTACTCCAAATGATGAAAGTAGACATTGCATATTGCATATGGTTCATATTGATGACAAGTCGAAGCTTTCCAGGTGCTTTTGCTTTTCGCACATCCGAAGAACATAAGCTGGAGTGCAAAGTTCACCTGCAATCCGTCTACAAAGCATTTATCTCTCAGAGCCTTTGAGGAGCGAGCCAAGGCGAAGGATCACTGCTTGCACGACTCAACAAACTCTCTTCGTGCAGTCCAAGCTCGTGAAAAGAATACTGCAGACTACCAAGATGCAAGAGATAGCAATTGTCTTCTTTCCTGCCAGACGAGGCTCCCAGGTCACTCGGCTACGGCGGCGGGCCTTGCCGCCTCAATCCAGTAGCCTAGCCGATCTTTCCTATGCTCGACCATGAGGCATTGCAAAAAATACCACGAGTCTTGGGATGACACCACTTCGCGCTCCGTAAACTGCTGCCGAGCATGATGGATAGAGAGGTCTCGCAAGTCCTCGACTTTCTTATCTGTATTCATAAGAATTTCGATGGAGCAACTCTCGCTGGAACCGTTGGGGCCGTTCTCAATCTCAATGCATGCTTCCAACCGCAAGGTCAGCCGCACACTCAAAACAGTAGCTGCTTCAACGAAAAACTCGGCTTTGATCTTCCGGATGGGCTTCGCCACTACCACCTGCTGATTCTGCGTATGCTTGTAGATGAGCAGTGAGGACTCGAGCCTGGGATCTTGGGGGCCGGACTTCAAAAGCAAAAGCAAAAACAACAGCGAGTTACTGCACTGCAAGAAACATTCGCTGGGTACAGTAGTACTTGGCGGATGCGGTGAACCCCGATCCGCGGATCACACATGGGTAGATGCCTTCCTCATCCTTTCGGAGGACCGTCGCCCAGAGGCTGCTGAGACCCGTGCTCGCTGCACGCCAGCCCAGGAAAGGCCATACTGGATAGAATTCATGAATAGAATCGTGAGGGACCACCGCGTATTCCCAGGCCATGCTAGGCAAAAGATCCCTATCAAAACTGCAAAACTGAATCAAAAACTTGACCCGCCGAGCTTCGATTCAGCGATGGAATGTATAGCTTGCACTGCTCGGATGCCCCTACCCTACCCTAGGTTTAACTGAGCACACAGATAGAAGCCCTTTTACCCTGGCCCTTTGCTTCCCACTCTGAGCGGCCAGCGGCCTAAGTCTTAAAAAAGCCTCGCAGGAAGGAATCGGAGAATTGCAGCCTCGGATGCTTGACTTGCACTTGCACTCAAAGACGCCTGGACAGGTGTTCCACACCGCCTCTGAGGCCCCTGTCCAGGCGCGTTGACGCTTTGTTTAAGGTGGTGCGTCTTCCCCAGGAGGCCTACTCTTCCACCATTCAATGCCATGCAAAAAAAATTTTGGGCTCTGCTTGACTTGCACTGCACTACCTCAAAAGCTGTCACAATCACAACAAAAAACAAATCGATCTAACCACCTCCGGAAAAGCAACATATAAACAAAACCTACACAACCTACGCTACTGTTCTCTTGGGCTTGCACTGCTCTACCACTCGAACTACTCGCTTTCTGTTGCAGGAGGCTGCGAATGTTCAAGTGCTAGAGCCAAACACTGCCGAGTGTATAGATTCACAAGCCCCCAGAAAACATGCACGAAACAAAAACATGTAACAAACCTACACAACCTACAGTACCTACAGCTGAAAGACGCCTGGACAGGTGTTCCACACCGCCTCTGAGGCCCCTGTCCAGGCGCGTTGACGCTTTGTTTAAGGTGGTGCGTCTTCCCCAGGAGGCCTACTCTTCCACCATTCAATGCCATGCAAAAGACGTTTTTAGCTCATACAAGAAGAGAACATACTCGTCAAACTTGAACAGCAGCGACCAGCCATCCCCAAAACCCTCTTGCGAAAGTCAGCACGGTGCCATGAAGGGCCTAAGGTGTTTGCTAATGCTAGTAGCCCAGTTTAGCAACCCCAGAACGGCCTCCAGCTCTTTGCGTGGAATTTTACTTTTTCGTTGCAGAGCTTGCAGTTGGTCCCTGAGCTTGCGGAGCTTAGCGGACACGAGCTCTACGGTTTCAGTTGCTGTGCTGAAAACCCAGCCGCACCATGTGACAGAGGTGCCGAACTGTGCTTTCTTCCAGCTGATGGGGGCATGCAATGCCGCCAGCAGGGCTACGATGAGAGCAGCGCCTTGCTCGCTCTGTGCGGTGCGAAGCATGCAGAGCAAATCATCCACGTAAAGCCACGCCTTATGTGGATAGCGACCGAGCAAAGCGTGCATGCAGCGCAAAATTAGGCCACCTGTGCGTTGCCACCAGTATGCCGAAAAGCGAGCGCCGAAGTGACATACTGTGTAGTAGTACAGGGCGGTGCCTTGCCGAAAAAGAAGCGTGCCATGCTCCGAGGGGTGGACCTTATTGCATTTGTGCGCTGCTTTAAAGTCAATCGACAGTGCGGTTTGCTGTGCGTAGCAGTCCTCCGCGAGGAAAGTGCGCTGCACATCCGAGGCAGTGGGCAGTGCAACGCGTTCCGGGATATGGACCGCCGGATTTAGGCCGCACACGGTGCTGTCGAGTACCAGCCGAGGGTCGCGACCCTCGGCTATCACGACATTCAACTTACCAATTGCAGTGCCTTTCGGCCATTGCAGTGCGGCATCTTCTTCAGTGCCCTCGAAGCGTTTAACGAAACCTTTCTCGACCTCTTGCTGAATTAACTGTGCTAGCAGTTCGGGGCTTTGCTCTGCTGCAGTCCAATTTCCCCTGCAGTGCTCGAGGTGCGGGCCTTGCAGATCTGTCGATGCGTCAATGCTGTGCGGTGCTTGCGCCCATTGCCCACTGCTTGGCAAGGGCTCAAAGGCACCCGTGGGGACTCCTTGGTCCAGCAGCAGAGGTAACTGCGCATCTTTGTCTGCGATTGACAGCGCGATGCTGTGCAGCAAGTTTAGTCTAAAGGGCTGGCCTGGGCTGATGGCAAGGCATTGCTCCGTGGAGCATTCTGGGTCGACTTTGCGTCGTATGATTTCTGCAATCACTGCGCCGTGGTGCTCGGAAAGGGGTTCGGTTTCTTTATGTTGCTTGAGGTGCTGAGCAATGCTATGCACGAGGTTATGCTGGCGCAAGTAAGCCAATATATCCTTCGCCGCGGCTCTCATCGGTGCTTGAGACTGTGCAGTCGAGCCCGACATATTGTCTGCGTTGCTAAAGAGGCCCGCCCCATCACATACGGCTGGGCGTTTGGCGCTGAAGCATTGCGGCAGGAAGGAATGAAAGTTGCGGAGAGGTACAATTGAGTGCGGAGCCCCCGATGCTGAATGTTTCGCCAAGGATATAATGTCTGCAAAACCTAAAGAGGCCACTTCTCCAAGCTGAGGGTCCGTGCAGCAGAAGATGCGAGGCGTCGCGTCTTCAGCCAGGGACTTCGACCAGTAGCAGTGCGTGGCCAACTCCTGGCAGAACTGAATATAGCCGTCTTCCAGCTGAGCGGGGCACGGGTGCGGGAAAAAGAAACCCACGTGTGCTCCTTGCAAGTGTGCTGCGCGGAGCATCGCTTGAAGCCAACTGTGCTGCTCTGTGCTAAGGTCCCCCGGGTCCCAAAGGGTGAGGAAAAAACCTAAGCAACCCGACCAAACTACGCTATGGAAAAGTGCAATTGTGTCTGGTTCAAGTAGGCTTTGCGCGTCCGTTTTGCCTGCTTCAAGGCAGTGCATGGGGTCAAGATCCCTCAGAGGCACAGAGAAGCGCTGTGCCGACATCTGCAAAAAGAAGTGTAGAGCTTCTCCGGGCAGTTCTGAGTCGTCACTGGAGTATTCGCTGGATGCTATGTCCTGCTGTGTCGATGCCTGCAGGTGGCGTGACGCGCACGCTACAGAGCCAAGCGCGGCATCAGAGACTTGTGGCCGAGTCGCGGCGCTGCTTTGGTTCGTGCGTGCAGGGCCGCTTTGCGCTGCGGATGATGTAGCTGGATTCTGCGGTGCGTTGCTGGTGCAGGAGGTGGGTAAGCTGCCGGGGGCTGCTGCTGGAGCGAGCGGTCCGTCCCGGCAACGGCCGCCCGCCCACCTCACGACGACGGCGGCTCTTGCGGATTCTTGTGTTTGCATGCGGGGTGGCTGCGCCCGCAGGGCTCTCCCGAAGGGAGTTTGAAAGCGCAGGCGTGCAGGTATTTGCACTGTGCGTTGCGGCAGTGCCCCTTGTTAAATCTGATGCAGAAGGTGCGACCGCCGTGCTCCTTGACCAGGTCGGAGGTCTTAACCTCCGCTGCTGTGCCGGTGCCGGGCTCCTTGCGTTTACCAGGCTGCGTGCCATTCTTGGTTTTTCCGCCGCCTTTGCCGTCCTTCCCTTTGCCTTCTTTGCGTGGCGGAGGTTTTTGAGGAGGGGGAGGTGGTTTGGCTCGGTACTGCAGCAAGTTTCCGATGTCCGCGCGGACCGTCGTCATCTCATGCAGGGCGTCGTCCAGCGACCAGCCTGTGCTATGCAGTGCCGCAATTTCTTGCCAGAGTTTGCGATCTGCTGCGACAAGTTCTGTGGTTGTAACCGTGCGGAGCGATGCATCTGCTGGCGAGTGCGTTGCGAGGTCCAGAACCTTTTTGTCGAAAGCCTTCAGCCGTGCAAGGTGCGCTCCCTTGCACAGTGCTATAGCATTGCGGAAGACTGTCTGTATTCTGCCGAGCCAGGCGGGACTCAGGCGAAGATGATCTACCGGGAGTTCCGGAGTTTCATCGTACAGCGCGGTGCTTAAAAACTGTGCTTCTGTGCGGAGCGTTTTTGTTGTTTTGCTCTCTATAATTTCCTGGTATTGCTTCTGCGAGAGTCGCAATTGCCAGGGAATCCATGCGATGCTGCTTCCGGGCGAGAACCACTTGTGTACGATGCTGAGCAGTCTGACGCTGGGCATTGCGTCGCCATCCAGGTGTTCACCTGGATAGTTAGACTGGAAGTCTTTGGTGAGCTGTGCGATTGTGGCGGCGTCAAGGCGAGGCGGTGCGTGCTCTGCCCAATTGTTAAGTGGCAGTTGCGGGGCCGAGCTGGCTTCCGAGGAAGACGCTGGTGCTTCTGCTGCCTGCGCCAAGGCTTTGCATCTATGCCAGGCTCTGCGAAGGCGGGCCATGGCAGGGCTGTGCTCAGGCTCGTCAATGCCTAGATCCTGCCAGAGCTGTGCATGGATTGATGCATCGCAGAAGCGGCTGAGTTCCGCAACCTCGTTGTAAGCAAAGGCGAAGTCGGGTATTGACTGGATCCCCGTGCCTTTCAGTGCTGTGCAGAGCTGGTCCGGCACCTGAAGGGATGCTAGGAGCTCATCCAAGGCCTCCGGCCCTTCAATGCCTTTTGACGACATTGGCAGTGCCATGCCTGAAGCAACCGAAGCTGCAAGTTCGACGAGTGTTCTCGAGAGAAAAAACGGCTGCGGCAGTCACGTGCAAGAGACAAACTTACGCACACCACAACCAGCGGAGCGGTGCAGGGGCGCACGAGGAAGTGGTCCACCTGAGCGGGCAGTAAGAGGGAGAGCTAGGGCATAGTAGAAGGTGAAAAAACTCGAGGAACTTTTAGGACTCTGCAGTGCGTCGAGCGTTTGCGCAAGCTTTGCGTCTGCAGTATGGTTCCTGCGGGAACTCTGAGACTTGCGCAGCAATGCCAAGTTCCATGCCACATGCGGTGCGGCTTGTTTGGCCAGCGGGTCCGTCCAGTGACAGTGCGTGCCACCTGCCCCATGGTCCCATGCAGGCGAAACGGGCTGAGAATTCCGCCCTAACCACGAGAGGCTTATGAACTTGCGATGCTGTGCTAGAAACGGAGGAGGAGGCAGAGCTGATACTGTCAGCTCGATGCAGCGCTGCTCGCTCAACCATGTCTGCCTCCTCGTCCGAGGGGAGGCCGCTGCCAGGCGATGCCTGCGATTCCTCCTGAATCTGGGTCGGTTGCACTTGTGATGGGTACGCCATGGTATCCGGACAGTGCTGTGCCAGAAGGGTTTCGTGACGCGTCACGAAAAACTGCCAGGTGCCTTGCATCAGCGCCGTCGCCGGCAGCGCGGTGACCGGTTCGCCTGGCGGCAGGCTGAAGGGGGGTTCAGGGATCGGTGCTTGGCCGCCTCGTGCAAGGCTGCGCTCCGCTCTCCATCCAGAGGCGAGTGCTTTGCTGATGCGGTGCTGAACATCCAGGCTGGCAAACACGTCGTTGCGTGAATACAAATCTGCGCTGTCGTGGTGATGGCCTTGAAAGAGGCGAAGCTCTTTGTCCAAGCGAAGCTGCGCCGCAGAAGCCAATGCGGTGCTCTTCATGCTGTGCAAAGTGAGCTGCTTGGCCTCCGCGCTGTGAAGCCCCTGCCCCGGCTGTTGCCAGGGCAAAGTTGCGGCCCACCTAAGTATGAGCATTGCTGTGCAATAGGATGCCGGCGCTATTTCTCGTAGCTTGGCTAGCTCCGGCTGTGCGTTAAACCAAAGAAAATCTACCCGATCTCTGGGTGTATTCGTGTGTTCCAGTGCACTGCGCAGTGCGGCAAGCCAGTGCAGCGTCCAGCAAGAGGCGGTGTCTCTGCCGGAAATGCCCCCTAGTGCAACCGCGAACGGTTGCCCCATGTTGGTGGTTTTTGTTGCGTAGCATGTGCCGTGCAGTGCGCTGCAGCTAAGCGAGAGCGAGGAGACGTCAATGCGTTGCACGTCTCCGAAGCGCAAGCTGGCATGCGTTGCTAGAAGCATAGCTCCCAGGGCGAGTTTTGTGGACAGTGCGGTGCGTGGCTGACAAACCACCTGTTCCCAGGATGCCACCAAACACCACGGAATTGGCAACGCTTCGCGGCGATCTTTGGCCGTGCCTCGCACCGCATATGCTCTGATAACCGGGCTGTCCAGTGCTGTTGCCAAAGCGCTCCACTGTGCCTGGCGGGACAACCAGCGGAGCGCTTTGATGGCAGACGGCGCGGAAATTTGGTGAACTTCGCGGTCTTGGCTGTGCGATGCTCGTGCGGCGGCCAAGAAATCAAGCAGGTGATGCAGTGCTATCTCAGAGGAAGCAACCCCCGAGCTGGAAAGAAACATCAGAATGAGCCATGCGATGCGGAGATACCGTTCCAAGGTGCCAGGACGATACTCCCTAAGGACTGCAGAAATGTGCTTGTCGGCTTCTTTGCAACCCTGCAAGGACTGAAAAAGAGCCGAGGCTTCGGCGATGCTATGCAAGATTTGGCACCAGGAGGACTGTGCTTCGTGATGTTGCGACTTTTGCGGGGCTCGCTGTTGCAAACTGCGAGGCGGTGCAGGGGGAGGAGGGATTTCTAGCCCCCCCGATGCGAGGAGTTCGCCTCCTGAATGAGAGCGCTTTGGGGTCGGTGGGGGGGGGAGGGGGATGCCCCAATCGGGGGCTGGATATGCGATGTGCTTGGCTGGGCTAGCGGAGGTCCACAGTGGGGGCTTTGCGAGGTCCTGGACCGTTGGCAACGGGCGGTGAGAATTAAGTTTCACATTGAAACGTGAGGGCTTTGCCGATGCCCCCAGGGAGGCTGGTGTAGCTCCCGGGTTTGCAATGCTGTCATGCCTGGGCTTGACGGTGCGAAAGAAACGGTGAAGTGAGTTGTCATCCACCAAATCCACCATTTCGAGGTGCGACGCGGGGCTCGGGGACCTCGAAGGCAGGGGTGAGGTAGTCCTTGATTCCGGTGCATATGCAGATCTTGCAGCTGACTGTTCGGCCCATCGTTTTCGCATTGCAGTGCTGCGCGGGTTCGAAAAAAGGAAAGGCTCAGGTGGACTTCTAGCGGGGTTGAGCCTACAACACTCGCGAAAGAGAAACAGGAAACAACGCAAATCACTGAACTGAGGCGAACATGAGTGCGCAACTGTAGCAATGCGGCGCAACAAAACATGAAGCAGACAAGTGGAAGCAAGGCCCAAAACGAGCTGCCGACCCATCGATGGTACCTCGGTGCGGATCTCTTCGAGGAAAGTACCTGACAGGGCAGAGCGGGGCGGGCAATAAATGCAACCACAGCGAAAGTGCAAACATGTATTGGCCTCGATGCCTGTGCAAAAGCAGAAAGACCTGATTTTTTGCATAAAAAGTTCGATGCAGTGCCAGGTGTGCGACCAGAAGCAGAGCTGGGCAGCCTCGCGAGGCTGTGCCATCGGTCCTGCAAAACCCGGGACCATAACAAAAGATGCTATGCCAAACTAAGATGACCAAGCTGTTGAAGCTGAGGCGGCGCAGCCAAACTCTTTTTGAGAGCATCATGCGGTGCAATCTCGGGGCAAAGCTATGCGGTGCGGCGCGGAGGCCGGGACGATTAGCGCCCGGCCTCCTTGCATTTGGAGCAGCGGTGCGTCTCATGGAGATCTTGCTCC